GGAACTTACGAGGAAACGCGTTTCGTCGAAACACGTTCATCGTAAAGCCTTTTTCCTCGTAAAGTCGTAGTAACCACTTTCCTCGTAATTTCCTAGTAACCACTTTCCTCGTAATTTCCTAGTAACCACTTTCCTCGTAATTTCCTAGTAACCACTTTCCTCGTAATTTCCTAGTAACCACTTTCCTCGTAATTTCCTACTAATGCTTTACTAGGAATTTATTTCGAAATGTTTTTCCACTTTCCTCGTAATTTCCTAGTAATGCTTTACTAGGAATTTACTTTGAAATATTTTTCCCTATTAAAAAAATAATTAAAATAAATATAAATAATATATTTAAAAAAAATTAAAGAATCCAAATTATAAATAAAAAGAAATAACTAAATATTTTATAAATAACTAAATATTTAAGTTTTAAATTCATATACAATTAAAGAGAAAAAAAAACTAAACTACGGATGTTGCTCGTTAAATTGACGAACGAAGTCGTCATCCCGGCACGACAACTAGTATCATTAATATACTAGTATCATTTAAAAAACAGTTAAAAAATTAAATCAACCTAATCTAAATTCCCTAAACTAACCACCTAATCTAAATTCCTAATCTAACCACCTAATCTAAATTTCCTAAACTAACCACCTAATCTAAATTCCCTAATCTAACCATCTAATCTAAATTCTCTAATCTGACCACCTAAGTAGGAAATAGAGAGAACCTTAAGAGAATTCAGAGAGAAGCTTACTACAAATGAGAAATCGGATTGCTCGAGTTTATATAAGGAATTTTGTTTCCTCGTAAGGCCCTAGTAACATTACTAGGCCTTTACGAGGAAATAGCTATGCCCGTGTTTTATTTCCTCGTAAAGTCCTAGTAATACCATTACTAGGACTTTACGAGGAAATTGCTTTACTAGGAAATAGCTATGCCCGCGTTTTTTTCCTCGTAAAGTCCTAGTAATGTTATTACTAGGACTTTACGAGGAAACAACTATGCCCGCATTTTCTCTTACTAGGGCTTTACGAGGAAAGGGTTTGTAAATCCCTAAACTCGAAACCCCAAACCCCAAACCACAACTTCCTTAACTTATAACCTCTTCTACAACCAAACTCCTAACCTCTTCTACACCTAAACTTCAAATTTTCAAAACTAAACAACCTAATATAAGTTCCCTAAACTAACCACCTAATCTAAATTCCCTAAACCCTAACCTTAAACCTAAACCCTAAACCTAAACAAACTTCCATAACTTATACATACATCTTCCTAAACCCCAAATCAAATTTTTTTTAAAAAAAACTAAAAGAAGTATACAGTCATCGGAACGGTTTTTATCAACCCAACATAGCTTTCCTCGAACTATCTACCTGAAGAAAAGCCCCAAGCTATTTCTTTGAGGAAAAGCTTTGAGGAGTTGATAAGAAACTATTATGTTGACTGTGAACTCCTTTCAGTTATGAATTGAGTATTTTCTATTTGTTTGGTGTGTTTCAAATGAATCACATATGGTGGTATTTATAGAAATTTTCGAATCTGAGAATTTACTATGAAATTGCTAGGAAAAGTAGGTACAAATTTTAAATTCGATATTTTCTATCTAGTTTCTCTTAATTTCATAGTAACAAAACTCATTCCTCTTAATTTCGTAGTAAGCAATTACTAGGACTTTACGAGGAAATTGCTTTACTAGGAAATAGCTATGCCCGCGTTTTTTTCCTCGTAAAGTCCTAGTAATGTTACTACGACTTTACGAGGAAACTGTTTTCTCGTAAGTATACGAGAACCTTACGAGGAAACATGGTTTCCTCGTAAATTCGAAGTAAACTCGTAGTAATTTTACGAGGAATTATTTTCCTAGTAAAGTTTCCTAGTAAATGCNGCTATGCCCGCGTTTTTTTCCTCGTAAAGTCCTAGTAATGTTACTACGACTTTACGAGGAAACTGTTTTCTCGTAAGTATACGAGAACCTTACGAGGAAACATGGTTTCCTCGTAAATTCGAAGTAAACTCGTAGTAATTTTACGAGGAATTATTTTCCTAGTAAAGTTTCCTAGTAAATGCTTAGTTTTCTTGTAGTGTTAGTTTCAAATTTGGAAAAAGTCTCCTACGCATCTCTCATATGATTACTAATCAATATCAAATTAGTTTCAAATTAAGTAAATGCATTATTAATGATCAAGTTGGAACTTTGTCAAAAAAAATGATCAAGCTGGACGAATAATCTGAAAAATTCCATTTAAAATCAATCTCTCTTTAAATAAATATTTATAATAATAATAGATTTTAAAATGCGTTTAAAATCACAAAATAATATTTTATTAGGTATTATGCCCGCATATGCGAACATTAAACTATTTTTATATGACAAATTTTCATCAAAATATATATGCTTATTATAGTGTTGAAAAACATTCACATATTAATTTTTTCTGAAAATATATTTATATTTGCTTTTAATAAATAATTTTAAATTGTTTTATACATATATTTTTATTTTTTCGTAATATAAAAAGTTATTTCCAGATAACAGTACAATATTCTATAAGGTATCTTAATTTTTCTAATATGTATTTACATAGATAATTATCCTATTAATCTATAATCAATTAAGTAATATAATGACATATAAATATTTTTGTTTTATTAATATTTAATTATAAATCGTTTTATATTTTAATTTTAAATTTTTATAATAGAAGGATATTATTATTTTCAAAATCTAAAAACAATTATATATAAAACTAAGATATATATATATATATATATATTAGCATTATCATGTTGTTACAGTATTATATTCAGATAACAACAACATACTAGATCTTTACCCGCGCAACCGCGCGGGTGTTATTTTCAGTTTAATATACATATGTTATTTATTTTATGACATTAGTGATATATATTTTTAAGGTTGAACATATATTTAAATGTTTATATAAATGTATTCTTAATTTTAAGATGTTTTTATGTATTGAGAGAATGAAAATGAAAATTAAATTTGGTTGTTAAGATTTTATTATATAAATACAAAAGATAAGGTAACAACTTTTCTAAGGAAGAGTCCATTTTTAAAAAATCATACATGAAGAGAAGTTGTGACTTCTCTTTTAATATAATAGATACACGAATTATCTTATTTTATATTTTTTTACAAAATAATATTTAATTTTTTATAGATAAAAATCATATGCGAAATATAAGGTTAAAACTTTAGGGAAAAAAATCTAGTGAATTATCTTATTTTGATTGACTTGATAAAATAGTAATAGACTCTAAAACCCTACAAGCTAACAAAGTCGTCTCCGCGGCAGCTGCTAAAGTCGTCTCCGTTAACATTCTTCTCGATTGTTTCGGTATTAACGAACTTCTCTCTGTTGAAATCTTATGAGTTCTGTGTGTTCCTCTGTTCTTAATTGAGAACATAAGATACCTTTCCACTCTCGAAAGTTGAGACTCTTATGAGTTAAATGTGTGTTCCTCTGCATGTCTTTGTACGTCTATATATATATATATATATGGTTGCTGCTGATGAATTTGTATCTCTCCACTCCAAATCACAGTCAGGTTTGCAATGACAACACAGAGCAACAGAGAGATCTTCTTCGATGGATTTAACAAACTCTTTAAAGAACAATGGCAATCAGACGTACTCCTCAAGGCAGGAGACAGTGCTATGGGTGCCACTATCCCCGCCCATAAACTTGTTCTGGTTCTCTTTTTACTTCTTCCTCGATTTTTTTTTTTTATTTTTTTATATAAGAATGTGAATTTCATTATCAAGATAATAACACAAGGGATAGAATTAGTCTTTGAGAAAAAATCCTAATGCATCAATGGTTTCTTTCTAAAGAAAGAAGAGGTCTAACTAGGAATGTTAAAATGGATAAAACTCACCCCATTTAAACCCGTTTACCCATTTATTTTAATTTTTAGTTTTAATCAAATCCCTAAGGCAATGATTAAAGATTAGCCAAAATGCTTATTTATACATGTTGCATTATTTATCGTTAATGCAATTTCTTGCCACAAATATGGTATATGATATAGGCATCAAGATCAACGGTGTTGAAGAAGATGATGGAATCAGACGAGTTGAAGTCTTCATCTAAGGTAGAGACAGTAACCTTCTCCGAGATGAAACACGAGGAGCTTGAGGCTTTAGTTCAGTTCATGTACAGTGTTGATGGCTCCATTTCTTCTGAAACTCTCAAGAAACATGTTAGGTCACTCTATCTTGCAGCAGACAAGTATGAGATTCCGCATCTCCGTGACATATGTAGAAACCAGCTTATATCATCTCTTAACGCGTCCAACGCTCTTAACATCCTTGAGCTAGCTCAAATCCCTTTTGACAAAGCTCTTAACGATGCGGCTTTCACAGCTTTCAAGAACAATAAAAGCATCATTGCTAGCTCTACTGAGTTCAAGTTGTTTGTTGTCAACAATCCAGATCTATCTGTTGAGGTCATCAAGGCTTCTCTATTAGAGCAATCACAACTAGTTCCAGGTTGCTGGCTGGCCTCGTGGAGAGGATGCAGGATGCAGCTAAACTAATAATTAATACTATATCAAGATTTTAATTCTAGCCTGCTGATCCTTCTACTTTGGTTTCGAATTTTTGTAGTTTTTTGGAGTAGTACTTAATGTTTCTTTTTAAAAGAAAGCAACTATTTTATTAGCTATTCAAGATTTTGTTTAACTGATGCACAAGAAGCTGCTGAAAGCTAACTACAAGCCTCACTGATCAAATCTCCCCAGGTTTATTCACTGTGCAGTGAAAACCATCTCTTTTGGTGAGAGGCTACAGCTGGTGTCCTCTGTCTCCGCTGGCCAAGAAGGGTCGATTATCCCCTCTTCTAGGATTAGAAACCATGTGCTGACCAGTCTTCGCAGCGTGTTGATGTACACTTGATGCTAGCCTTGGTTCAGATAAGTTTCTTGCATGATTCTGTCGAAATAAAGATAACAGGTGTTTTAGAACATTTTGGAAGTAAATTAGTTCAAGGCTTAATGCACGAGGTGTTTGACTTGCAAGCGAGAAGGAGACTGATAAAAATTTTGGAAGTAAATTAGTTACCTTCAGTGGCATCATCTGAAATATAAAAATAAAAGTTGTCAAAGCTATAGATTTAGCCAAATCTAGTCAATCAAATATTTGAGAATCTGAAATGATTTTATTTTTAATGTGTATGGGTTTTTAACGCTGGTATTGAATGGTTTATGTAAGTTGTTTATTATACACTACATGAGATTTTATACTATTTTGTTGTAACTAAGAAATTATAATAAAGTACTTTGAAATTACAATCAATCACTATTTAAAATAAATATTTATAATACTAGTGGTAGATTCAAAAATAAATTTTAAAATCACAAAAAGTAGTATTGAAATTTTAGAGATAAAATTCATATGCGAAGAAAAAAAGATTTAACATTTTAATATAAAGTTAATTTTAGAAAGAAAAAATTAGAACGTTGGATTATATTGGACACAAAAAATATAAAAAAGAAGAACTGTCAAAACGAATATAGAAAATGAATACACCTGTAGAGATCAAAGTAAATTAACATGTTTATTTGCGATGTAAATAATTAAAGATTTTCATATAAAAGTTCTATTTTTCCTTCTCAAATAGTTGAAGCTCAAAGGAGATAAATATTTTCATATAAAAATTCTATATATGCTCCTCAAATAGTTTAATCACAAGGAAGATAAATATTGTACTAATCCAAAAATACCACATTTCAAACTGAGTTGAGAAGTCACCGAGATAAGATAACTTATATATTGCTTTATTGATAATAAGAGAGTAAAATAAATTATTGTTTTTATAGAAATTTATGATAGTTTGTAGCAAAAACTCCATTATCATCAAATGAAGAACTATCAACTATTGAATCCCATAAAACATGTGATTTCTATTCGCAATAGATTTGTCAATTACCTTTTCCAAACAGTTCAACTGTACCAAATATTTTGTCTTTCCAAATCAATTGAAAGGAACATATAATAGAACAATTAAAAACTATGTTAGATTTAAAATAAATCAAGAAAACTAATTGATTAGAGATAAAGCAAAATGAACTAAACAACCCAATGTTAAAACGGTAGAAGCCTTCAACCACCAGTTTGAATTTTGAAACTATAAAAATAAGAAGAAAAAAAATCCTTTTTGAGTTTGACAGTTAGGATATTTCTCTCCGATACTTTCAAAGTTAGAAAGATCATTTTAGAAATGTTTTGTAAATCACTTTATCTAGATTGACTTGTTAAAATAGAACAACAGACTGTGAAACCCTACAAGCGTAACAGAGTCGTCTCCACGGCAGCAGCTAAACTCGTCTCCGTCATAACTTTCTCCTCGTTCCGGTACTAACGAACGTTTCTCTGTTGAAATCTTATGAGTTCTGTTTGTTACTCTTTTCTTAATTGAGAACAGAGAATATGTTTCCACTCTTAAAAGTTGAAACTCTTATGTTCTTCTGCATGTCTTTGTACGTGTATATGACTGTTGCTAATGAATTTGTATCTCTCCAAATCACATCACAGCCAGGTTTTAGTGTTTGCAATGGCAACACAAAGCAACAAAGAGATCTTCTTGGGTGGATTAAAGAAACTCCTCAAAGAACAATGGCAAGCAGATGTATTACTCAAGGCAGGAAACAGTGTTGAGGGTGCAACTATATCCGCCCATAAACTTGTTCTGGTTCTCATTTTACTTTTTCCTCGATATTTTTTATAAGAATGTGAATTACATTGTCAAAATAATAACACAAGAGATGCAATTAGTCTTTGAGAACAGATACTAATGCATCAATGGTAGCTATCTACAGCAGAAGTCTTACTATGGATGTTAAAATGGATAAACTCTCCCCATTTAAACTCCAATCTAGTCAGTTTAGACCCATTTAATTTTAAGGTTTAATTAAATCTCAAGGCTATGATTAAAGCTTAGCTAAAGTGCTTATTTATCCGTGTTGTTTATTTATCGTTAATGCAATTTCTTCCAACATATATGGTATTTGATATAGGCATCAAGATCAATGGTATTGAAGAAGATTATGGAATCAGACGAGTTCAAGGCTTCATCTAAGCTTGAGACAGTCACTCTCTCCGAGATGAAACACGAGGAACTTGAGGCTTTAGTTGAGTTCATGTACAGCATTGACGGCTCTATTTCTTCGGAAAGTCTCAAGAAACATGCTAGGTCACTCTATCTTGCAGCAGACAAGTATGAGATTCCGCATCTGCGTGACATATGTAGAAGCCAGCTTATATCATCTCTTAACTCGGCCAACTCTCTTATCGCCCTTGAGCTTGCTCAAATCCCTTTTGACAGATCTCTTAACGACGTGGCCTTCAATACTATCATGAAAAATATAGGCACCATTGCTAGCTCTGCTGAGTTCAAGTTGTTTGTTGTAAACCATCCAGATCTTTCTGTGGAGATCATGAAGGCTTCTCTTATTCAGCCTCATAGTAATGTATGTCGCTGTTGTGGCCACATACGGAGTGGAAGCAGCTAAACTAGTTGCAGGTGTTTGCTGGCTGTTCTCGCGGAGTGGAAGCAGCTAAACTGATAATTTATCTGTTTAATTTACATTGTGTTTTAAACTTTTTTATATTATTTCATAATAAGTGATTTTTTTTTTGAGAAAATGACTAAAATAACACTAAAAAAGTTTTTGTTACAAATATAACACTTAAAAATAAAAATGACTAAAATAGCACTTAATGATTTACCAAAAGAGATAAATTAATTTAGACATTAGGGTTTAGGGTTTAGGGTTAAGGGTTAAGAGTTTAAGGTTTAAAATTTAGGTTTTAGGGTTTAGAGTTGGGGAGTGAGGTTTTGGGGATAAGATTTCAATTTTTGAAAAATAAAAAAAAATAAAAAAATTCAAAAGATAAAATGCTATTTTGATCATTTTAGTTTTTAAAGACTATTTTGTGACATAAACTTGGAAATGTGCTATTTTGGAGATTTTCTCTTTTTTTTTTCTTTATTCTAGAGAAATATTTAGTGTTGTTTGAGAATTGTGACTGACTATAAATTACCACATTTTTCTTATTGGTTGAATTAGTTTTATTTAATGATGTTTTTATATAACTGAGATAAATGGTATAAAATTTTGCATTTTCTTAATCTATGTGCAAATTAAACACCAAGTAAATTGAAACAAAAGTAACAGTATATCGAGCTTTAAACCCTACCCTGTTGATCCTACTACTTTGGTTTGGAATGTTTATAGTTTTGGAGTAGTATTTATGTTTCGTTTTACAAGAAAGAAACTATTTTCTTAGCCATTCAAGATTTTATTTTAATTGATGCACAAAAAGATTCTCAAATCTAACTACTCGCCTCTCACTGATCAAATCTCCTCCAGGTTTAATCACTGTGCAGTGAAAACTCTCTTTTGGTGAGAGGCAGTTGTCTACACAAAGAGATACGCTTGGTATTGATATTTGCATTCTGTCCACTCTTGCTGCTTTTCGGAAGAGGCAAGGCGAAGCGTATTTTGTTAGATTCGGGTTATTATGGGCTTCCAACTTAAAACCAATTGGTGATAAGTGGATTGACCCTAACCCTTTATATTACTTAAGGTTCCTTTGATTATCCGATGTAGGATATATTATCTCCAATACCCCTCCTCGAGATGATGGCTCGGCTAGAAATCTCGAAACTTTAAGACAGTTATACTCGGTCGAGCGAGTCAAATACGACAATTATACCTAGTCGGAAGGTTAAACACGACCTATATACCCGGTCGGATTGTTTATGAGATGCAATTCGTGGCTGCCGCTTTGCTCATAAACAATCCAGAGGTGGTAGTGGACGAAGAAAAGGTCGAAATGATCTATCTAGACTGTGATTTCCCCAAAGTACTACCCTCGAAGGAGCTCAAAGGGTTCTATATGGACAGTGATTTATCCTGAAGACCGTCACTGTCCTGTGACAGTCTGGTTTGCATGTCCGTACCAGGCTGGATCAATGTTTTGAATCCTTCCACTGGAGAATATCTTAGATTCTCTTCCGGCCGAGATCCAAGTGATATCTCCTGTAAGTCATATATAGCTAAAAAAAATCCTGATAATTAATTAATATCAAAAGTAATTCTTAGGGAGAATTTGTTCAATATACAAAATACTAATGAAAATGAAGAGTATAGCACTGATTTTGACTGAATTCATTTACTGACAATTAGCCCAACTAAAGTCTGGTTTTATCCCTAATGGTTGCAAGTTGCCGGTTGCATGGAGAGAAAGATACGTGTTTAATTATAATTTCCACATTATGAAAGGCACGTTACACACATATGTACCACATACTTATTACATATAGTATAAAATTTTATTTTAGTATGAAACTTATATTAGTGTTGATAAACATACAATATACACTCGATGTTCCATTCCATATCGTCGATGCAGTATAGAATTATAACTCCACATATACACCTCTAAATAGTAGATATACCCCTATCTCAATCTTCATTTTGAATACTAAACCTAAACTGCTATCACTAAACCCAAACCTCAATCCCCACTTTTCAAATACTAAACCCTAAATCTTAATCACTAAATCCTAAACCCAACCCACATCCGAGATATAAACAGTTTTCCCCGTTTTTAAATAATGACATTTACCACGTTCATAACACTATACTGCAAGGTCGATATAGTATACTACTTTTAGAGTGTTCTCGTTCAATAATTCAGGGGACTTGAGTGGCAAGGTTATATGCATGTTGTACTATTATATTATTGAATAGAATAAACTGACATTACAACATAGATAGGGTCATATCACTAATACAAGTAACAAAGTAACAAGGGTGAGTTAGTGAAACTCAACCCAAATGATAAAACTATACTCTAACCCAGAAATGTCAACCCACATCCAAGATATAAACAATTTCCCCTTGCTGAGAAATCTTGACAGTCACCAGATTATTACATTTTTAAGAAATATTATAGAAATATGTACCAAATAGTATGGTAATCTTACATGTCTATAGCTACAATAAAGAATATATACTATATTATTTCGTTCACCGAATATAGTATAGACGGCGTGTTCATCTTCTTCAATTTTTTTTTTCAAACGTGCTGATACACCTTCACTTCATTCACCGTCATTATTCTTCACCACCATATAAAGATCATCTTTTTCTCCTCTTTTTTTCCAACACAACGACGCTTCTACCGGTCCGTCGTCGTTATTCTTCACTACTGAGTCACTAAAACAAAAACAAAAATAAAGTAAAGACCTAAGTATAAAAATAGAAACAAAACACAATATAAAAATAAAAACAGAAATCACAGTATAGAAATATAAGCAAAAACATAGTAAATGTGAAATAAAATGTATAGTATAATAAAATGTAGAATGGAAACCATAAAAGATGTAACGGTATGGATAGAAAAACAACAACAATACGAACAAAAATGAAAATGGAAACCAACAAACTACAGTGAAACCTCTATAAATTAATAATGTTGGGACTACACCAAAATTTTATTTTTTTTATTAATTTAGAGAGATATTAATTTATAGATATACTAATTAAACCAAAAACTCAATTTAGGACTATAAAATTATATTAATTTATAGAGATATTAATTTATCGAGTATTAATTTATAGAGGTTCTACTGTATTGTATTTAATTTTGTTGGTTGGTATTCTATTCAGCTCACTGGATCATACACAAAGCAACAACATACAAACAAGCTGACTATTCACTATTATTCCATGTTACTCCGGTACCACATATGACTTTGAAAATATCATAAAATGAAAGAAACAAAAAATACTTCAGATTCAGATTTTTTAAAATATTCTATTTGTATTAAGGTAACAAATACTTTGAAAGTGGAATAGAATGTACAATGGAGTGGAGTCCAAACACAAAGCTTCAAATTTCCGGGTCACAACGTTTCCACATACTGACTCCAACAAAGAATTACTTCATGTTAAGAAACAATAACAGAACAACCACTTACATGATTGAAATTCTCTTATGCAATACGGTTTTGGGAACTTGAATCTGTAAGTGTTAATCCACCTCGCCGCCTCTTTTGTTTCGTCTTCCTTTGGACTGTTTATGTCAAAATCTGAGAAGCTTCCCCCTTCCTTAATGTCGTAGCCTTCAAAAGTGGTTTTTTCCTCCATTGTACTTCACCGGATATGTAGACGGTGGTGTTGAAGGATCATGGAAATCTGAGATGAAACATATTCACTTTCCCAAAAATTATCAAATAAAAATAGCTTTAGAATGTGTGTACAATAAAGAGCCACAAATTATTTTTTACATTCACGTATTATTTATATTAAAATTAGTTTGGTAGCAGGTTTCATCGGTGACTTACAAGGGTATTAGTGTATTATTATATAAAAAAATACATGATATATCTATGTAAACTAGGTTAATTGGTTAGATAATGAATTATATTTTTTTTGTATGAATAGGATGCAATTTCCCTAATTCTTATGACCGCTATATATATATATATATATATATGTGTGTGTGTGTGTGTGTGTGTGTGTGTGTGTGTGTGTGTGTGTGTAGTGATAATTCGGGGGACATAATTGAAATTGCAGGTCGGGATTTTGAATTTTTTCCTTGATACTGGAGGATGGGATTCGGTAGGGACAAAGTTATTGGGAACTATAAGGTAGTGAGGATGTTCTTCGAGTCTAAATATTACTGCGAGATTCTTGATATAAACATTGGGGAATGGAGGAAACTGAAGAGACAACCTCTTTTCTATGTGGGAGAGAGATTGAAGTCGGCGTTTGTAAATGGATCCATCTACTGGTTAGAAATAGATTCTTTTAGCATGACTCAGAAGATACTAGCTTTGGATCTACACACAAAAAAGTTTCGTAGTGTAAGGACACCACCCCGATTCTGCGAGTCAGGGCAGATAGCTAACCTTGAAGACCGTCTAGTCATAGCAGCAAATGATAGGCTGGATCCTCATTTTAATTTTAACATATGGAGCATGGATGCACAAGAAGAAACATGGAGCATCACTTACTCCTTTCCTTTATCCTTTTCACATGTAACTGTCACGTATCTAGATGTAGGTGATGATTGTTTGGATGGTTTTTAGATTTTAGATTTTCGTTTTTAGATTTTAGTTTTTGGTTTTTAGATTTTGGTTTTTAGCTTTTGGTTTTTGATTTTGTAGTAGATTTTAGTTTTTGGAAAAACACGAATTGTGATTTTAGTTTTTAACTTTTGGTTTTTGGTTTAAAATATTTTAAATTTTGAAATTTTTATTTTCCTGTGGGTTTAATTTCCAGAAAAAAACATGAATGGTTATTTTTTAGTTTAATTTTACTATGTTTGAAGTATATTTTGAATTTAAATTAAAAACTAATAATACAAAGTATTACTTGAAAAGTATTATTTACTTCAAAAGTACTATTTACTTCTAGGCAAACTAAATGTTATACAATTGATAGTTAGTTTATTATCTAAACATACTAAATGAAATTTAATTATATTGTTTTTATATTTTGTAAACTTTATAAAAGTATATTTTAATATATTTTCAATTCTGAATTTTAAGATTTCCTTTATATTTTGTCTTTTTAAAAATTTAATTAATGATTATCTTGTATGTTATTTTTAAACATTTTAACTTAGAATTATAATTCAAAAAAAAAATTTGTTTGTAATTGAAAAGTTTTTAAAATATCCCAAATCCAAATTATATTCATATTACATCAAGTAAATGATTCTTGCTAAACCTTATTTTGTGATAGTAATTTATCATTTTTATTGTTTTTCTTCTAGTAATATATAAATATAGTAAAAATATTTTCTTAATAAACAATTTGCAACCAACGTAAATTAGGAAACCATGAAATTTTGGTTTTTGGTTTTTATGTTTTAAAAACAGTTATTTGCAAAAACTAGTTTCCCTACATTATAGGAAATTTATTTTGTGAAAAATCTTGATTGGGTGGCATTGGTGCATGCCACTTGCAGTTTCTAAGCGAGGGAATCTTTACTTTTATGATCAAGAGAAGAAGTTGCATAAATACTATTCAGATACCGGCTTAGTCCGTCGTATAACCCGTGGTGGCATCCGTATTGTAGCTCCTGTTGTTGAAAATTTACTCCCAATTAGATGTTCAGCTTCTAATAATAAATATTTGATAAAACCTACGAAATTACCATAAATGACTACATATATATGATAATTAATGATTCTAATAATAAATATTTGATAACAATTTATATCTCCTCCATCATTTTTTTTTAATTCTATATTATCAAAATAAATTAAATAATAAAATTAGCTATAAAATTAAACTTTAGATTTTTTCGTATATGTTATATTTTGAATTTTAAAAAACGAGAATAAAGGACTAAAACTATTAAATTATTATGTTAAAAGTTAATGATCAATAGTTTAACATTTTTATTATAAAAAATATACATTATTTTAAAACCATATGAGTAAAAAGTATCATTCAATAATAAAACAAATGTATTTATAGATTAAAATATATACCATATAAGATTATATAAATATTTTAATTTCAAAAATTTCAATGAATTTTCAAGAATATTTATAAATTATAAACTTATTAAATTATTCACATTGAAAAGTTTTGTTATCAATGATTTAAATATCTTAGTTCTTTTTAATTTTATATTTTTAAAAGATATTACACAACCGATAATATGGTAATTTTTGGTATATACCATACAAACCGAATGGATGTGTTTTTATAAAAACCGTAGGATTTGGATATGGTTTGATTTATAACCGATTAAACTGAAACATGTAAATATGTATATATTTATAACGACATATGAATATCTATTTGTTACATGAGTTGAACTATAATTATAATTTGTAAATCACTTGAATCACTTGAACTATAATTAACTAACAATTTACTGCAACTGAGGCTTCTTATTTTCTTAGTTTTTTTTGTCTTTTTGCTTTATTTTAATTGTAACTAAATTGAAGTAAAGATTATAAATTTGATGGACAACAATTAGTTGAAATTATTTACAACTTTTTTTTTTATCGTTAAACAAACAGAGTTGTGTTCAGTCGGAGACGTGTTAATTGATGAACACTAGATATGGAAGAATATAAAAACTTTTCTTTCATGCTTCTGTTTTTTTTTATTTTTTTTCAAAATTTAGAGCTTTGATATTAGGTCTAGATTTGATCATTTTATTAGATGATAGAAGCTTTTTTTTATTCTTTTCTTTAAATATATAATTTTTTTAATAAATGACTTTTTGACAATATGATTCAAAATATGATCATATTATATATTTGTATAATATATAATATAATCTCAAACTAAATAATTATGTTTTTTTGGTATAAAACTTAATAAACTGAAAACCGATGGTATATAAAACAAATCAAACTGAAGTAAATATGAATTTAGAAAAGTAGTTATATTTTAATAACTGAAATACCGAAAAATCGAACCGAACCGAAACCCAATATCTGGATTGAACACTCCTAATCCAAATAAAACCGAACTATTATTTCATTTTTCAAAACATAATAAAAATAATAATTTCATCCCGCGCAAGGCATGGTTCTTAACCTAGTCTTATGTTATTAGAATGTTTTGATTTGGAGACGATTTGAGTATAAATTGTATGTTTCTTACAAAGTAATTTTACCTTTGTGTTTCTTTTAAAGTAAATTTACTTTTCATTTCTTTCAAAGTATTTTTTACGTATGGTGTGAACATTGTGTGTTCATCTTCCAACACCTAATTTCAGTACTGGGTTTCACACCTATAATTCTGAAACTTTGCTGGATGGTTTGGTTTCCCGTACACCGTTAATGACCAAAGCGTGACAATGTTGCATCATCATGTTCGCGATGTGTCATAGGAAATTACCTTTGCATATCGTACGGTCAGGAAATTGACAAGCAACTTGTCAGACTTGAAACCTAAATGCAACATTTCAAACATCGCAGAAGAAACAAAACTTGTGTTACTTTTGAGTAATCAGTGGGGAAAGATAAATGATACTTCCTGATGATAACAGTTCGTAGAATTGGGTAATTAATGTAGGAGACACGTATTCGAATATGATCCATTCTTCTACTTTTGTGAATACGTATAAAGTTTCAGTGTTTGGATATATTTGAAGTTTCTGACTTTGGATTTAGAAAGACTTTGACCCGTATTTTCAACTTTGCATACAAATAGCCTTTGAAGTATAAAGTTTTTATTTGAAGTTTAGATATAATTGGTTGGTACCTTCTGTAACCATGTTCTTAACTACATCTGATTTTCATCTTAGGTAACGGATATGGTCTAATGTGACATGTCATTCGCAGTGAATTTGTTGAGTTTGCAAGTTTTCGTTTTCAAAAGGGTCTAGATCTCTGCGGTCGATTGCTTGGCTTCATTTATCGTTGTCTGACTATTTATTTATTTGTTAACATAATTGTTGTCTTATAAGATTGGATATATATATAAAAACTGGAGTATATCAGTATATGGTCTGCAGAACTTCCTGATCAGGTTGTCTTGTATTGCATAAGCAATGAGCTAAGAAAACAAGTGTAAATATAGTATATCTATCTGTATTTTCTACAAAAGTAAATATGATATTTGAAAATGCAAATGGGACATTATTTCTATTTTATCAAAAGGGGCTTAACTAATCTCTTAAGGTCTACAAAATCGTTTTATTGCCCAGATCTTGAAGATCTCAAAAGCCTGTTGAAAATAAAGAAAACAAGTTGGCAAACTGTTAATTAATTATCCAAACAATTGGTGGGTACGGGATTTGGCTATTGCTAAATTTCTCTTTGACAATGTGTCCCTCTTCTGCAGAACAATGAGATGCAACTCTTTTGGACAATTTCTCTTTTCACTTTTTTTTTTGAATTGCTCTTTTCACTTTTGGCCTGCATGTTTGGTTATCTTGTATATCACGTTGTAATGTGCTCCACTCCTCGTCGAAGTTGAGTTTTTCTTTGAATTATGGGTATTTTCAGAGTTTTAAAATAATTTTAATCGGTGAATTATTTTCTTCATATTTTCATAAACAAACAAAAGATCTGTTAAGAAAAACTATGATATGGCATGCTAAAAAAAAATGACATAGATTAAGGAAAATATGTGACATGAATTACATTTAATGTCAATTTCTATTTTTGGTAATTTTTAAAATATGGCAATAACTCATACTTCATCACTAAAATAAATATATTTAAATATAATAGTAAATAGTATAGTAGTATAAATATAAAATATTTTACAAATTTTGAAATATTATTTTAATCTATTTTTATGATCATACCATTTTCATTACTAAATAAGATTTTCAAATTTTTATTTTGTACAATGGTTTTAAAAATTTAATCAATATCATTTGTTTCCTTTTGATATCTACAAATTTTAGAAATTCTATTTAGTTTGTTAATAATTATATAATTTTATGTCATTCTTTTAATTTTATATAAGTTAATTTAATATATCTAAACCAAAAGATATAAATGAAAATATATCTAGGATTATAATTATAAATATAATCGAAAACAAATTAAATTGTTTATTTATCTCAATTTTATGTTCAACTAATTAAAATTTTATATTAAATATTGATGTAAAATAATAAAATATAAATATAAATAAAATTTTAATTATAATTAAATTTAAAAATTATATTGTTGCATATGGTGTACGAAAACATCTAGTTGTTCATGAAGATCAAACAAACAAACAAAACAAGATTGAAAACCTGAATTTAATTATGTGGAACTTTTCTTTAATATATGAAAAGTTTTGATATGATCTTTAATGTTTTTAAGAAATACTATAGTTAGATTCTAGTATAACTGAAGAGAAACATATGTTGATTCTTATCAATACACTTGGTCTCAACAAAGGAAAATTGATTTTCTGTATACAGAATTGTGGTAATCATCCCGGGGCTACATTTCACATCAGAATTGTGGTAATGCGCTTATGAGCATTATTTACATCGAGTATTTTACAAAGAAACTGCAAATTCCAATCCTTCCTTTTTATTCTATAAAATATCAGATTCAATTAGTAATGCAAATGAACTTATTCGTATTGATCTATCAACTAGGATAGT